GTACTCTTGCCACCTTTAGGATGGCTCTGTTACATACCAACTGGCCACCTTTGATTTAATTGAAAACCGTACCAAGAAGCTTACAGGTCGCTCGGAATTAGTGGAGGCGAAGCTGTAGAGCCTTGAACATCTCCGTAAAGTTGCCATTTTCGGTATTTTACAGGATATATCACAGAGAGTGTGCGATGGAATTACACGATTTAATTGTGCTTTCCCCTTTTCCATCACCAGGGGACAAGGCGTAGACTTGGGTTCCACCTCTATGTTGTGGATATTCCAAAGATTCGCACGAAGCGTGACGCTACCACGTTTATATGGCGAACGGCTATGAAGTGGAATTCCCTGCCTTGTTCCCTAAAAATTACAACTTGGGCCTTTTCATGGCAAAAATGAATAGGCATTCATCCATCGTCGATCTCATCGTCACTGTCCATCAGGTGAGATGGAGATGAAATGCGAACTTACATTTAAAAAAAAATTAGTTTTATCTTAGAAGAGTCATTTTCTGGCGTCGCCATTTTCGCATACACAATACGGAAGCGTGTGCGTGCCTACGATCGGAGCGTCTCTAGTATATTCATTAGAATAGATTTATTTTTATAGGCCTATTTTGTGTACGACATGAATGAATGTGTGTATTATCTGTGTATTTATAAAAATAACCTAGTGTTTTAGACTTTTGTTTGTGTGTCACTATTGACACAATTCAATTTTGAGTGCACCTGTTTGCTTGTATAATAAGAAATAACGCTAATAGCGCCTCCCGTCCTAAAATTGACGTTTGACTTGAAATGTTTGCAATGAACATGATCTGTAGGACTGACTTGAAATACTACTAGATCCTCCTATCCTCTAAACGACTATATTTTGAAAAAAATAAAAAACAAATTTCTAAAGTATATTGTAACCACTAATTATAAGCGTATTTATTTCAAATCAGGCAACTTGTGGCCCGCATAACATTTATCCATTATAAATCAAGGATTGACATACATATTATTATGGTATAATATAAAAATTAAATAACTAATCTACACGAATTGCACTTGTCGGCGATGTGTAGCGCAATCTGGTGTCAGGTTACCAGCCGCGACAAACGTCGATAAACGACACCATTAGGCCAGATCAAATCAAATTGGGACTTGACTCTTAGGACGTGAAACTAGCAAGCAGATCGGAGTCCCCTATCATTTTAAGAACTTTGTTTGAGCTCTCTCGCACTTGCGCAGGCAGGATGTCACCTTTTTTCGCATGAAAAAGTATAATAAAATAAATAAATAGTGCGTGAAAATCCTCTACACTAGCATCGGCAAACATGCCCGACGCACTGCAATAGCAAGGAAACCCAAAGCCCTCAACACATTGACCTACCAACAAATGGACGTCGGATCTAATACAAAATAGCGATGGGCGAGTCGAGTTATTTAACTCGAGCTACTCCCACAACGACTCAACTCGAGTTACTTTTTTAAGAACTCAAGCTAACTCGGCTCGGTATCTGCCCCGCTGAGCCGAGCTCGGTCGGTTCGGTAACCTTCGGAGCATACTCGAGTCGCGAGGGATGCGCGAATCGAGTTATTTGACGAATGACACAATTTTAAATTGCTCGTAGTACTACCCAAAAATGTGGCAGAAAGTTTTGTTCGAGAAATAGCGCCTCCCGTCCTACATAGGGCGCACTTTAATTGGCCACTTACATAAACAATATTTAAAAAGTAACAAGAACATTTGAAAATGCAACTCTTTGGCTGTACAATACAGTTTGTTTCATCTGACTGTCACTTGTTTTTACATTGTGGCATCTTTTTAGAAATTGGTTGTCTACATCACTATGGATTTAACTCGTGAAAATTTTCGTAGTATGATTTTCTACGATTTTAAGTGTAATTTAACAGCTCAGCGGAACTTTGCTCGGCTTCAAACTGCTTTTGTCGATGAAGTACCATGCAACACGACTATTTATAGCTCGTTTGCAGAATTTAAACGCGGGCGTGTGAATCTCAGTGACGAATTTCGTGATGGTCGCCCGTCCACTGCTGTGAACAACAAAAACATCGATGCTGTGCGCCGTATGGTCAAAACAGACAGGCATCTGACATACCATGAGATTCGGGCATCTTTAGACATAGGCATGAGTCAAATACAATCAATACTGCACAAACATTTGGGTGTGAAAAGGCTGTGCTCTCGGTGGATCCCACACAATTTGACTGAGGCTCAAAAAACGGATCGCGTCACTTGGTGCAATGCCATGCTTACCAGATTCAACGAAGGGGCGTCAAATTTGGTGTGGGACATAGTAAGAGGTGAGTCGAGCGTATGGGCCTTTCGAGATGAACCGGAACCAACCAAAGTAACGCCCGTGCAAAGTGCCTCTAAGCGGATGATTGCTTCTTTTTTTAATAAAACTGGACACGTGACTACTGTTGCTTTGGAGAATTGTTGTACCGTGAGTAGTGATTGGTACACGACCTTTTGCTTGCCGGAAGTTATTGACAAACTCCGTAAAAATAACCGTAAACGCCAGCTATGCTACATCTTGCAACACGATAATGCCAGTTCTCACACGGCCAGACAGACAAATGAATTTTTGAAGATGAACAACGTTGACCTTATGAGCCATCCCGCGTATAGTCCCGACCTGGCACCTTGTGACTTTTATTTATTTCCAAAAATAAGAGCCAGTTATGCGGTCAACGATTTTCATCACCTGAAGAGGCTGTCGAAAGAATATGAAAAATATGTTCCAGTAAATGTCACGGAGGAGTGGCTTAAATGTTTTCAAGATTGGTTCATTCATATGAAAAAGTGCATTAACTCTACCGAAGAACATTTTGAGAATAAATAAATTCATTTCTGACCATTTATAATATTATTTTCTTATTCTTTCCGGAAACTTAAGTGCGCCTCACGTATATGCTCTAAGGATAAAATTTACGTTTGACTGATAAAATATTGTGTGTGGGCAAAAATGTTTGCAATGAACATGATTTTGTAGGACTGACTTGAAATCCTACTAGAATTATAATTATTACAAATACAAAAGACGAAACCATATTCAATATACTGGAAAAGTTTTGTGATGAGAAAGAGATTTCCTTGAAAAATATTATATCAGTTGCTACGGGTGACGCTCCGGTTATGACAGGGTGCCGTAAAGGCTTCACAGCGTACTTAAAAAATAATATTCCAGATGTCCTTGCTGTACATTGCGTTATTCATAGACAACATTTGGTTGCTAGAAATTTAAGTGAACGACTATTTCAATCACTGCAATATGTCATCAAAGCAGTCAATAAAATCTATAACAGCTCTTTGAGTGATAGATTATTTCATCAGCTTTGTGTTACTAATGATGAAGATTTTAACCGTTTGATGTTTCATACTGACGTTCGTTGGCTATCAAGAGGCAATTGTCTGACTCGATTTTACAACCTGTTTCACTCTGTGATAGAGTTCTTGGAAACTAAAGATACAGAATTGCGTAACATGCTCATTACATCAAAGAATGATATAGCTTACATGACAGACCTGTATAAATTGTTCATCGACATGAATCTCCGACTGCAAGGCGATGAACGAAATTTAATTAATACAAAAAATGTCGTTGCTGCTTTCGCAGAAGCAGTTTGCTTCTGCACAAAAAGAATATGGGCAGACGTGAGTTTCACGATTTTCCGAATTTATCAGTATCCTGCAGTAACAACGACTTGTTTGCCTACTGCCAACATTTGGAAAACCTCCATATTGACTTCACCGAACGATACCAGGACATTTTGAACTTGGAAATACCAGACTGGGTGTTGGATCCGTTTTCAAATATCAACACAGCAATATCACCTCAGCTGGAAGAAGAACTTATAGAATTGACAACGAACGAGAAAATAAAAATCTTGTTCAAAAATGGCTACCAAGAATTTTGTCTACAAAAACCGTCTCGCATTTGTACTCTGGGTTGTAGTCAATCGTTCAACGATTCTTTATAGCATTCCCATCGTCATATTTGTGTGAACGTGATTTTAGTGCTGTGACAACGCTGCTTACTAAAAAGAGAAATCGTTTGCATGTTACGGATCGTGGTGATTTGCGGCTGTTCTTGAGTAAATTGGAACCTGATATCAACAAACTTATTAAACATCATCAGATTCATCCTTCACATTAGATTTTATATTAGAATCGATTATGTTTGTTTTATTTTGAATAAAAGATACTCTGTCTGAATACTACAAAGTTGCGTTTCAATAATCATTCTCATTGGCAGGTGTAGCCCGTAAGAGTTAACTTGAGACCTGATCGCCGTTGTGTACTAACTACTACGCTCAGGTCTCAAGTTAACTCTTAATGGTTGTAATAAAAGTGTCTTTTAGAATGAACGTTTAATCTCCGCTAATATAGCTAACAATAATTAATTTAATTTGAAGTTATAGAGGTTTTTAAGTAGGTGAAAAAATGGAAGCGCTAAAAAATAATTTATTCTCAAAGTGGGCAGTAGACAAAATAAGTTTGGGAACCCCTGCTGTACAATAATATCAAAGTTATTTTTACTGTTATTTCAAAAAAAAAACTTAAATTATAATTTAAAATAATAACTTTTACTGTTATTTAATAACAAATAGCAAAAGTTATCTGGACATAGTGCGAGCGCTATAATGAGATTTCTCAAGGCTTAGGAAACTAACCATGAACTTGTTTGACTTACAAAGAAAAATAGAATATTTCACATTTCACATAATTAACAATTTCAGTATACGTCGGCAACCAAGCAACTCAAACACTCAAAAATCACACAGTTGCGATACAAAGATTACTCTGATGAAAACACATTCGAGGACTGCGAGTGCGGCTGCGATGTATTTCCACAAGATGATGCTTGCAATGGTGTTCGAAAATGTGTAAAAGCTTGCACAACTGTCTACGCAAAACTATGCAAGGAATACAGCTGCAGATATTTCAAGTGTCATTTCAAACAAACTTGTATCATTAATTGTCAAACCCATTTCATGCAGCCGTACTGTTCGGATCCGTGTCCAGATCCATGTCCTTGTCCTTATTGCCCTTTTCCACCATGTTCCTCTGATCAGGAAGACACAGTGAAAACGGATCTTCTCATGCGCATATTGGCTCCAAAATGCAAATTAAAAGGCACTAGTGGAGGTAAAGGATTCAGCAAAGGCAGTGAAGGCATCAAAATCGGCATAAACATAGGTTTCAATGTCGGTAAAGACAAATGCAATGAAATGCAATGCAAAAGTGGCAAATGTTGCAACGGTAGCAAAGGCGGCAAAGGCGGCAAAGGTGGCACAGGCGACAAAGGTGGCAAAGGTGGTGAAGACGGTAAAGACGGTGGAAACGCTGAAAACAGTAAAGTCAGTGTTTGCGATAGAGGGGGTGGAGGAGGTGGAGGAGATTGTAAAGGCGGTAAAGGTGGTAAAGGCGGCGAAGGTGGTGAAGGCGGTAAAGGCGGTAAAGGCGTTAAAGGCGGTAAAGGCGGCAAAGGCGGTAAAGGCGGTAAAGGCGGTAAAGGCGGTAAAGGTGGTAAAGGCGGCGAAGGCGACGGAGGCGACGGAGGCGACGAAGGCGATGGTGGCGACGGAGGCAATGGAGGCGGTGGATATGATGGAGGCGGTGGAAATGGCGGTGGAAATGGCGGTGGGTGCGGTGGAGGCGGTGGAGGCGGTGTAGGCGGTGTAGGTGGTGGATGCGGTGGATGCGGTGGATGCGGTGGAGGCGGTTGGGGCGGTTGGGGCGGTTGGAGTGGTTGGGGCGGTGGCGGCGGTGGGGGCGGTGGAGGCGGTGGAGGCGGTGGAGGCGGTGGAGGCGGTGGAGGTGGTGGAGGCGGTGGAGGCGGTGGAGGCGGTGGGGGCGGTGGGGGCGGTGGGGGCGGTGGGGGCGGTGGAGGGGGTGGAGGTGGTGGAGGGGGGGAGGGGGATGGGGGGGGTGAAGGGGGGGGGGGCGGTAGGGGGGGCGAAGGCGGTGGAGGCGGTGAAGGCGGTGGAGGCGGTGGAGGGGGTGGAGGCGGTGGAGGCCGTGGAGGTGCTGGAGGCGGTGGAGGCGTAGGAGGCGGTTATGGCGGTTAAAGCGCTGGAGGCAGGGGGAGACGAGGAGAAGGTTCAGGACGCGTCTGCGGCTGATAAAGTGCAGGTAAATGGAAAGAGTCTAAGAGAAAATAATCCAGACGTCAAGACTATAAAAATGTCCAAACGTCAAGACTAATAAAAATAAATAATCCAGACGTCAAGACGTCTTGTCACCAACTTGTCCTTTGGAATAATGATCTATTAACAGCTTACTTGCAAGTAATTCTAACCTAAAACTACTTAGGAAGTACTAGTTGTTGCGTAAGTTATCGAAAAAAAAAGTAATTATAATTATTAATACAAAGATCGAACACTCAGAAACGACGACGACGAAACACGAATTTTTCTATGTGCTTGCGTCGTGTCTTTGTATTTGGTTTTTCAACGACTTTTTAGTAATTCGTGAGGTCCGTTGGTTCGTTCCGTGGCTTAGTTGGTATAGCGTCTGGCACGGTATGCAAGAAGACGGCGGTTCGAATCCGACCGGATCGAAGGAATTTTTTCTGAGTGTTCGATCTTTGTATTAATAATTATAACAAACTAGTGAAGTAATTTCACAAAAAATAATTGAATATCAATTCAATAAAAATTTCATTAAAAAAGTAATTGTGAAAAATATATTTTAACTAAAGTTACTCACCGCAACACTTAGATATTAAAAATTCTACCTTGTAGACACAGAGTTTTACAGTTCTATTTTAGGTAATAAACAAATGTAAGCCAACTATAAAGGAGTTTCATTATAGAACAACATTTGACATCTGTCTGAACCTTAATAATATAAATAATCACATTTCTAGACCAACAAAATAGTACCTACTTACAAAAAATTTTCGTCTTAGCTAATATCAGTATCTAAAAATTAAGAAAATTTGAGCTAGGTATTAAAAATATATGAAAAGCAATTAAAATGTTATATTTTGGACTGGCACTTTTAAATAAGCTAACCAAGGTATTTGAAATTGCGTGTTCAAGATTATCATTTCGTATTAATAATTAGGTATATTCACTGCGTAATAATTATCGGCATTAGAAATCGAAAATTCGAGAACCTTTGTCTACTAGCTCACGAAGTTATGGCGTCTCATTATATTGATATAATAAATCTGTATCATTTACTACTCTGCACTAAATAAACGAAGAAAACAAAAACCTATAACAATAGCTACATTTCATCTTTTTAAAACGAAAGAAATTCTTCTCTTTATCCTGTTTAGATGAAATTATTTTCATCTAAACAGGATAGGAAATTATTTTCATCTAATCAGAGCAGCCGTACACAGTACAATTCACAACCATTATAAATAGTAACGTAAAATGATGATATATGTTAAATATATAATATAACATTATATATAATTTTCGTAATAAATAAATGAAAATTATATTTAAATATCAAAGCTCTCTTAGCGCAAAAACGATCAGTTCAGTCAATGTGACCGTCAATATGCGGAGTGTGGTGCAGTATCTAAAGTTAGGGAGGGGCGGAGAGTGTCCGTTCTCGTTACTTTTTTCTTCTCTGCTAGGGATGCGCATCTTTTAGCATTGTGGCGTAAAAACAATCCATGCATGCATCAGCAAACATTCCTGATGCAATACAGAAGCGCTGCAGCCCCAACAGCACCCGAAACGCGTTATTATATCGGGCCCGAAAAGCACTGTAAGTGACCCTTTCGCGTATAATTGGCTCACAAGCTATAAAAAAGCTGTGAATACTATAGCTGTCCTGTGCTTTATTTAAGCACCGTGCAAACCTGTTTGGCAACATAAATATTAGCCCACATTAGCTGACAGTGCCCGTCATTTAGGGCTCTTATGTTCCTTTCCCATGTCGACCCCATCTCTGAGGTCACAGGTCGACATGTCAACCCCAAAAACCATGACCTCGATCTTTTAAACATTATAAATGACCCCATGATATTCAGCATACATTTCACACGTTTCAACCAGTTTTCTTGAACTGCATACCAAAGCGTTCTGCAGCACCACATCGTCGGCGTAACTGATATATTATTGACGCAAACATCACCTATGTGACAAACAACTCGGGCGCTGCTGAGCGCCACGATGAGGTCATTAACATAAATATAGAACAGTGTAGTAGAACGCAACCCCCCTTCATATATCCCACATTCCAGTCTGTACGATTTTGACAGTGTCATTAAACAGTGCCATTGAACATTATTAACCTGGTTTCTATATCAAAACTTGAAAATATTGATTATCTGTAGTGTGTAATTCTGCCTTTATCAGTTTTTGCTATAATATATCATATGACACCAGGTCAAAAGCCTTGGATAGGTCTAGAAAACAGGTGTCAGTGTCTATACCCCTTTTAGAATAGTACTTTACAGCATGATTGAGTTACAACACGGCACCTCTGAAGGTCGACTGTTTAACAACAAACTAGTTGTCATGTAGCTTGACGCGGCTACTAAGCCTTGAATCAAGCAACCCATTAAATACTTTTACTATAACGGTATCAAGAGAGATTAGTCTATATTTCGGTAGGTGGCGCTACGTAGTAAACACCATCTGTACTTGAATTTATTAAAAAATTACAAATTGTGGATATAACTTATAAGACCATTATAACATCCTCATGGTTAGTACCATGATTTCGTTGAATTAACCGATTAAACGATTCTTTTATGGGAACTGTGTACGTTTTTTGCAATAAGATTTCGGAGCATTTGTATTAATATTATCATTTCCTAAGTTTAAAACTTACATTACAATTACGAGTATGTTCCGTGTGCATGCCAATACACGTATTGTACTGATTTAGTTTTCTTACAACTCTGTTATCTCTTCTTTTCCTTTTATTATTTTTATGTTATCAAGTATTAATAGTTATTAAATGCACTTATGTTATATATTTCTAAATCGAGTCTGAGAGTGAGGGGTCGAAATACTGTAACACAGGGCATTTTAGTACGGGGACCTGGATGGAAGGCTAGTCTAGTGTTCCCCAAGCCTCACATTCGGAGTCGGGGGACCGATGTGTCTCCATTCTCGGGAAGGGGCTACACAGGGCGCGGCCAGCCGCTGGTGGGGGCGCAAACAAGTGCAATAGCGTACCCGTACCGCCACCTACTGCGGAGAGGAGGAACACTCCGTGGGTTTAGTTACCTGTAAGCAGATACTCCGGATAAAAAAAAAGTTTCCGCTCTCTTACAATGGACAAATCGCAATCACATTGGGGATGTAGGAGCGGCATTCGTCGTTTTTCATTCCACGGGGAATCAAATCTCTAAAAAATTTAAACTGCATAATTGCTGTTCTGTCTTCCAGGCCTGGTCTGAGGTCTCTTATCAAATGGATCATACATAACGATAGTACTATTAATAAAAATAAGGTTTACATTTTGTCTGGTAGTAAATCCAGTTTTATGGAATTATCCAATCCGAACAACACGAATCGGCTGATTGTTGAGATTCTATGGTTGAGATACACCGCTGTCTTAATCAGGCCCTTCAGTTTTCAACAGATATGGAATTCTTCTGGGTCCGTGCTCATGTTGGAATTCCTGGCAGCCGAATTGGCTGCCAAGTCTGCGGCATAGTTGCATAGGACACCGGACTATCTCAACATACCAATTAATTATTATTGAATATCGAAATAGAATACAATCTCAACAATGTACTCAAATCCTATTAATTGCAAATACACTAAAACTCTATTACCTACTTTTGTTGTTCTAAACAACTTAATCAACACTATCAAATTTCACATCACAGAACTATTTACAAATCACGGTTATCACAAAGAATACCTACACCGATTTGAAATTTCATCTGATAACTTTTGCCCCTGTGATAACGCCTCCACTCAATCTCTCTCTCACCTCCTAAAGGACTGTCCCAGATCTGTTGTCTTCAGGAATGAACTATTCACAGTTACATCAATGTTCAATGTCAATTCGTTCGATTTGACAAAAATAATTGAGAAGCAGTCATGCATTGATGCTTTCAATGATCACGTTTTATTAAAGACTTCAATAAGTGAATAATGTACTCAAAATACCTAGAATTAATCATTCGCTAATTTTTCTGTATTTTTCTGCTTGAATTGTCAATTAATAACACAAAGAAAAGTAAACAGGCTCTTTGTATTTGAAGGATTCCGCCCTATCTGGAAATATAATACCCCTACCGCAGGGGCATCGAAAAGAAGAAACATTACCTCACCTCCCCCACTATTTGTCAAGAGTTGCAACACCTCGTAATTTATTTATTTATTTCTTTATTTTAACTTCCTTCACGTAGTAACGCTCACCTTGTGATCATTAATTGAACAATACCTTTACACTTTGCTTAAAAGGACACCAGATAGATGGCCTTTTTCCACGCGGACTCATGACAATTTACGGTTCGTTGCTGACTGCTGCTTTTCTTTTTTAACTACTGCCTACTCTCTGATCATTATGGCAAATCAGAGAGGTAATGCTAAAGAAGAAGAATTAGACGGAAGAGGCACTTCTCTGAGGATTCAGAGCTCCATACGTTGTTCCAGAACGATATCTACTAACCTTCGAGTGTTTCCTGCCTTTTTTTTCATGAATGGAGTAAATACGACAATAATTTTCCCAGCTACTGATATAGTCGGGTGTCAATCCACCTCGTATTAGAAACTCCAGATTTATTCCAAACATTGTTACAACATAGAGCAGTCTTCGTTTAAGTCTTTGAAATGTTCTTCAGAAAAAAAAATACTTTGTATCGAATCATAGGGCTATGAGTGACATTCCCGTACTTCCACCTGGTGGGATACTTGGGTGAAAGCTCATAGAATCGTCATTCTATGAGCAAGGCCCTATCTACACACGCGCAAATGTGTGCGAGAAGTGGCCGGTTTACCCATCACTTACTCTTGTAAATCTAAAATAATATATAAAAATTGTAAAGCGAATCTATTACTTCTTCTTCTTCCTGTCCTTATTGCGTTAGCGTGGGCACTAGGTAGGGTCGGCACAACATGTATTTTTCTTCCATTCTCCCCTATCTATTCTGCCGTCGACTAAAAAACGCAGCTAAGAAACAAGTGGTCATATATCCGTTTTAAATAAAAAAAAATACAACACAAAATACTCTTTTAAAAACAGTTACAATAGGTTAACGTGTTTGACTTATCGGAACTTACCCTAATGATGCATAGCTTAAATACCATTAATCAATTTCAATGTTCTAAAACTAGGTTACGGTATTTTACGATATCTCAAAAAATTCTCTAATCAGTCGACAGATTTATAATACTATTAATAATTACACATGTTCATTAAGTAGTTATATCGATATAATATTACATTTTTTATTAATTCACTAACTAGAATAAGATTAAAGATTTATTTAAAAAATATATTAAAACCACTTAAAATGTTATATTTTGGACAGATATTTTTAAGTAACCGAGGTATTTGAAATGACGTGTCTTAGTTTATCATTACCTAGTTAATAATTAGGTATATTCACTACATAATATTTATCGGCAATACAAACTGACAATTCGAGAACCCTTGTCTACTAGCTCACGAAATTATGGCGTCTCGTTGAATTGATATAATAAATTAAGAAAACCATAGCTGAATGAGTCTCAGACATAAGTTTTTTTTACTTACTTCGTTTCGTCTTTCGCAAAACGAAAGAAACTGCTCTCTTTATCTCGTTTAGATTTTGATAAACAGCCATACACAGCACAATTCACGACCATTATAAATAGTAACGTACAGTCAAGAGCACGTCAACCTTGCCCCTTTTGTACCGTTCTTATCGTAAGAGGCACAGAGTTGGATTTAAATCTTAAGTGTCTTAAGCTTGACGTGCTCTTGATCCTGTATAATGATGTTATATTATTAACGTACAAGTTTCGTAATGAATAAGTGAAACTCTATTCAAATATCTAAGGCGTCTTAGCGCGAAAACGGCTCACCGACAGCCTTGTTGCTGTTCAGTGAACGTGACCGTCAATGTGCGGATGCGGTATCTAAAGCTAGGAAGGGCGCGGAGAGAGTCTGCCTCTACTGCTACTTAATTAAATTACAGTATTACTTACTCCAGTTAATACTCATCACACGTTTTATAAACTCTATTACGATCATCGAGGGTTTTTCTCATGTTATGGAACGTCATATCGTGTGCTTGGTCAGTTTCTGGACATTCAATTTCATTTATTCAGCTAATGAAATAAAGAAACAACTATAAAACGCTAAATCCAATGGTCAATCGAATCAACGATGGACACAAATTTTATCTTTATTAAACGTGCTAAGAAGGTTAATCATAAACCACATTCTATTCCGTATTATTTTATTGTCACATCTCATTGCTAAAATGTTATTTTAGTACAATCAGAAAATGTTAGTAGGGAATGGAGGTAGAGGGCCTACCACAACCTCTTAAAACAATATTACTTAATCCTGACATTGACTTTTCGTACCATGACGCGCTTAAAGTAAGCTTATTATAATGTTAAAACTATGATGTTTTATTGGCAGCTTTGTGAATATTCATTCACTCTGTTCGTAGTACTATAACGCGACTTTAACATTAAAGTAATATTGTTCTTATGTCAAATTTAGCAATCTCGAATAGTTACACGGATGCAATGGAAACAAAATTATTTTCGAATTTATTGTCTAAATATTGATTTGTAATGATTAAAACTTAAGTTAAACTTATTTTTTTGACATATATCTCTTCAATATTTTGTTTATTTAATAGTACATAGGAAATAATTTCTCGATAAATAAAAATACGCAATTTCATAAAATTATGACAGCGACATGTATATTGGCGACACTAATGCTCTGGCTACACAGAGGCGGCCGCAGCAGCGATCCGGGCGCGGGAATTTTTGTAAAATGTTGAAATAAGATGGTTTTTTGAAAGGTTATGATAGGCCCCCAGGGCCAATATTATAAGTATGCAGTGTTGTTTAAAAACCTTTTAAAATGAAATTTCTGTCGTATAAATACAAGTATGTACAACCATATGACGACATTGTCGTTATTTTTATCATCGCAAATTAAAATAATAGCTAATTCAGACTAATAGCAGATTTGAAATTTGGTAGAAATTCTATTTCAAAGGTTTTTGAAAATAAATCTCTGTCAAAAATTATTATTATTATTTTCTATATATCCACCTCCTCCTCCAATGTTATTAATGTTGTTAACTGCTTCCCCGCCAACATTATTAATATTGTTTACCGGTTTACCAGTACCACCTTGATTGTTGTTAATAATAACGCCAGATGGGCACGGTGGAAATAGACATGGGCTAGGTGGAGGGCACGGTGGAAATGGACATGGGGGAGGTGGTGGGTAAGGTGGTGGGCACGGTGGAAATGGACATGGTGGCGGGCACGGTGGAAATGGACATGGTGGTGGGCAGGGTGGAAAAGGACATGGGGGAGGTGGTGGGTAAGGTGGTGGGCATGGTGGATATGGACATGGGTTAGGTGGAGGGTAAGGTGGTGGGCACGGTGGAAATGGACATGGTGGTGGGCATGGTGGAAATGGACATGGTGGTGGGCACGGTGGAAATGGACATGGTGGAGGGCACGGTGGGAAAGGACATGGAGGAGGTGGTGGGGGAGGTGGTGGGTAAGGTGGTGGGCATGGTGGATATGGACATGGGTTAGGTGGTGGGTAAGGTGGTGGGCACGGTGGAAACGGACATGGTGGTGGGCACGGTGGAAACGGACATGATGGTAGGTAAATATCCCCACCATTATTATTATTATTAACATTGAATACCGATTTCCCATGATTGTTGTTTAAAATAGCGCCAGTTGGTGAAGGGCATGGTGGAAATGGACAAGCCGCAGAGTACGTTAACTTTTTATTTTTATGTTTGAATTGCCTGTTTGATAGTGTGCACTGAAATCATAAATTATGTGTTATTTTAGTACCTATCGATGCAATATTCTCTTTTGCTCTCTGAGTTTAGCTAGTTTATGGTAAGTTTCCTTAAGAAATCTTGTCTAGGACTTTTAGCATTATCATGTGGTGGTTGGATTATTCAAATAAAGTATTATTTGAATAATCCAACATTTATCAAATAAAATTAAGGAGGGTTTAAAATTGATTTTGCAATAAATAAAAGAGCAAAATTGAAAACATTTCGGGCTTCTCCAATATTCAATATTGTTAGTAATTGTGTTTATGGCTTTTGTGGGAAACATTCCGCCACAAACATCGATGGGAACATTTTCACATTCTCAGTTCACCTAGTATATTAATTAGTAGATTTGTAGGAACACAATGTTCACAAAATACTAGAGAATTAGTAATATTAACTTACATTTGGATCAAATCTTGACGATATCTAAAACAAAACATTGTATTAAAGATATTAGAATTTAAATAGATAGGCATTTTAGATAATGCATCACATTGTAAGGCTCAACTCACACTGGCGCAGAGTCGAAGCGTCGCAACGCGTCATATTTTTCGCCTATAGCATATTCTTCTCTATTTTCCCGTTATTAAGGCACAAATTTGTGTTATGTAAATATGGAATCGCGTCGACACTTTGTGTCATTCGAGCGGCTTCGCTACTTGGGCGCAGTGAGGCGTCAGACGCCGACCGCACTGTGGTCCGGGCGCACTAATGCAAGTGCCATCGCGCGCCGACGCGTGTTGCCAAGCGTTGTAGTTGAAAAATAGAACGCGATGCGACGCTTCGACTCTGCTCCAGTGTGAGTTGAGCATAAGACGTCTTTCATATTTTACAAATTTTGAACAGAAGGTGTTGGGCATCATCTGTTACACCAATTTTATTCAAATTATTAAGAAAATTGAAGGGAGGAGGTACTAGAAGACGCAAAAGAAAACAAAATCAGAGAGAAATGGCGTGTGGTACATAACACAGACCGGTCATTAGACCATGCTTAAATTAATTTTAAGAAATTAGAGTTTGTTGCACTCGGTGTTCCAAACGCGAAAAAAGGAACGTATGCATGACACAGTTAGTACTATCTAAAATTCTTAACATAAGCTTCACGAAGCTTGACTTGCTTATTTATTAAACAGCATGCATTTAATATGTTTTCGTTTACTTTTATTTCAAAATTTCGACCTTTAATCCACTTAATCCACCTTCCTCCTCGTTCCTTTATATCCGGTTTTAATCTACTTAAACAGTTTTAGAACACTTTAAAGTTAATTAACATTTAGACAGTGTACGGTAAAAACAAAATTGTATTTTGTGACACTGTACAATTAATTATATCCATGTAAATTGTGTTACGTTGATTGGATTTTTAATGGCTTCAAAAGCAAATTTAAAATGAAATTTTAAATGTGTTGTAGATATTTAAATAAATCATTATAGCTAAAAATATAATATCACTTACCAACGTCTCAATAAAAATGGGTAATAAACCCACTAAAATTAAATAGAACAAAAATATGTTCATCTTCGCTACCTTTGAATTAATAAGTAATAAGGACTCTATAAAAAATATACACAGTATTTATTCGAAAACTCCATGTCCATTATGATGTTTACAATACGCAACATGGTTGATTAATTACTTAATTAAAAATAACAACATTAAGTAAACGGTACATAGCAAAATTAGTCGGATAATTAAAAAAATAATTCGGTGTAAATATCCTGTTTTCTTTAAGATCTAATAAGGTGCCATGCGCTCCACTATGCCAATGACCGCCAGATGGCGCAACGTCGTCGTCATATAGAAACTGTTTCTGCGGGGAAGTCACGATCATAGAACAACAAAATAGTAGAAGTGCTTAGTTTCCGTATCACGGTGCCAATTGGTTGCATTTAATTCGTTTTTCCACTTGTCACAGTAATTAGTTGTACTATCTGGGAAACCCAAGCACTTATCCAACGTATTAGACATGGCTATACAAAAGGGGCACGCTGCCAACATCTTGGGCACCTTGCCACGGGGACGCAATTTTTTTCATAAAAAAAAACAAAAAAAATTATTTAATACTAGTTTTAGTTTCTAGTATTTAAGCTTTTATTGTATCTACTTTTTTACCTTACCTGTCAATTAAAGAATAGAAGACAAAAACCGTCGACTAAGACCGATTACGTGGTAACAACATAATTATTAATCACGTTAATTTAATTTTGTTCGAATGCATAAGATGAATCAGCCTGTAATGGAACGTTACAACTTTGTCAAATTATTTGTTGTAAATAGCTTTTTTAAATTAAAAAACTATTAAAAATTTAATACAAACATATTTCTTCAACAAATATATCACATTTTTAAATAATAATTCATTACAAAACATAAAACCACTATAGACAAAGTTGGTTAATAAATCTATGGCAGCCTACGTCGCATTTTTGAATGGTAAGGCATGCAGAGAGGGGGGCGCGGTAAACCGATACCGGCGCCGGCGCCCGCCAGCTCAACAGACAGCGCTTAAACGTCCTCAGAGTCAGTCCACTCTCGGCTTGGCCGCGATCCCGATATAAAAAATAGGTTACGTGGTTTGAAATATTTAAATTTATATCGCATATAGAAGATTATTGTTTCCAATCACAATTAACGTACATAAATGGTTGTGAAAGTGAAAGTTCCCGCTTTAGGGTAAGTTGAATGACACACAAAAAACACTTGTAACGCTTTTATTGCTAATTTTCATGTTTTGTAATTTACCAAATTGTACTATGTCGTTATTGCAGCTCTTTCTACGTTTATATATATATGTACAACGTAAATTTGAACCATCATCAAAATTTCAAAAATTAACGAACAAATTTCATTGTATTTTTTGACCAGATGTTGTTTTCCTTGGCTTATATTCTTTTCTAACAATAAGCAAACGTCTCGGCCTTCAGCCTTACTACCTAAATTCTTTGTTTTATCTAGTTTTTTTTTTCACAATTTAAACTGCAACTCCGTTCTGTCGCGCCACCCGCAATTGCTATGACGTAGGTGCGTCCCTAATTCTTTTTTGCCGTCGGCGGGCTTTCAGAACGTAGGCAAAAGGACTATTACTACCAGTTGGTTGTCCGTTGTAGGAATTACCACCAGATTAAATTACCTTCGGAGTGAGTCACCTTTGCTGAGCTTCCTCCGGGCTCGTACGCTGACTACGTCCGGACTAGGTCGAAACATCCCCTGAACGGCAACTAGTTGCTGCTCGCCCTGTAGCCATTCTTCGGCGCCGGCCGATACCGGCGCCGCCGCCCAAGGGAGTACCATACTCGGAAGCGGAAAACCTAAGGTCTTAAGGTACTATACCACGACCCGTACTAAATTCATGTACCTTTTTTAAATTCAAATTTTAAATTGTATTTTTTTATATAATTAAAATAAAACTAGGAAATCGAACCCGGTACAAGCCCCATATCTTTCTACAATAATTTTGATTATAGTGACCCTCCTTAGGGTATACGAGAAGGGCACTATAACCTGTGCGCGTACAGGAACCCTATAAGTTCAGGTACAGATCAGCCAGTGTACAAGGTTGTCATAGACCTGTGTCACTTGATTTCATTCAGTTCTCGAGAGGCTAGTGCCTGGGGTGAGCCGTCCCGGGTGCACATACAGTTTCCTATTTTCCAGATAGGTACCGGAGCTGCACACCCGTTGCGCTTTGCGCAACTAGCGGTTGCCACCGCTAAGCCGTCGACTTTAAGTCAACTACGAAATTGCCCATTTTTGTTTTAAACTTATATTAAGGAGGGTATAAAACACGAGGTAGTATTGTTTGCGGATGATACTACCTTATTATTTAAAGTTAAAAGGTACCAATATTCCTACGACGATGTGAACAATGCTATATCTAAAGTAGTTGATTAGTTTGCTGTTAATAACCTACTCCTTATTGAGAAAAAAACAAATTGTGTGAAATTTACACTACCCAATGTTAGAGAGACGGTTACAAACACTGTAGTTAGAAACGAAAAGTTGAATCTTGTGGATACAGTTGCATTTCTAGATATAACGTTAGATGCTAAATTGTAATGGGGTTCCCATATATGTAAGTTATCAAAACGGCTCGACTATGCAGTGTACGCGATTAAAAAAATACGGAAACTTTCAGACGTTGAAACAGCTAGATTGGTTTACTTCAGCTACTTTCACAGTCTAATGACATACGGCATATTGCTTTGGGGTAATGCCACCGATACCAATAGAATCTTTGTCCCGCAGAAACGTGCGGTTAGGGCAATTTATAATCTGGGCCCCAGAGTATCTTTGAGAGATAAGTTTAAGGAAATTAACATTCTACACTAGCCTCACAGTACATTTATGAAAATGTAATTTATGTTAAGAGGAATAGTAATTTCTGTATGAAAAATAGTGACAGACATAACATTAATTAATGTTATGAGCTAGTTTATTTTTATTCCTCGTATTAAATACGATCAGTATTCAATATTGCCTTTCAAGATCAGTATTCAAGATGTTAATATTGCCTTTTGTTTTTGCCTAGGCGCATAGAATTAGGTTATGTACGTTCATGAATAAACAAAAACCTATCACATACAGATATCGTTATTCTTCAAAAACTATTTTATGGAAGCATAAAATTACCAATCAGGGTACGAAATATGTAGTAAAATCATTGCCTTACAATTATATGGACGTCGGGTCCGCGCTAAAAAGTGTCCGCACTTTTAAGGCGCTAAAATCGTATACAGAGCGCGACACTCCGCTTTAGTCTTCATTTGTTCTACTGACAGCGCGATACTGCGATGACATTACAATTTAAATTTCGAATAGGTTGACTTGGGACATTTTTTTCGTGGTTTTTGTATTAGACCCGTCGTCCATTTATTTGTAAGTCAATGAGTAAAATGAAGAAAACAAATATAAAAAACAATTGCTAGAAGTAAGATTTTTTTATTTTACAATATATTGTTATAATTAATTATCTACGTCTAATAACACATCCAGTGCAAGGTGGCTGAATACATATTGGTATCACACCACAACACAGGACTATCAGGCGTGACATTATTGCCCTTGAGCTGTCAAAGGGAATCTGTAATTTAAAATAAAAACTTTACCGAACATTGAAGGTGTCAGTAATTCATTCTTTTACACAAAAAATGACTTTGTTTATCGTCAGGCATTTACTCACTGAATCCTATTCTTGGTTTTCCTTTAATTCTCTTTCCTTCTGTCTTCCCCTCAATTGTAAACTTTATTAACTCCCCATCCTCCACAAGCTATCCAAATTATACCGCCATTACTGCGTTGATCGCTATCAATTCTTTGACTGATTTCATGGCTTGAATGATTTTCGTCATCACCACCACCATCCTCTTTACCGCCTTTACCGCTTTCAACACCAATACTACCACCTTTATTGCTTTTGCTGCCTTTATTACCTTCACCGCCTTTACCTTCTTTATTGTCTTTACCACCCTTATCGCTTTTACCACCTTTACCGCCTTTGCTGATTTTACCGCCTTGTTTGCCTTTGCCGCTTTCACTGCCTTTACCACTTTTATCACCTCCTTTAACTCCCGCGCTTTATTTGCCTCCTCCATCACAGCCTTTTCAACAACCACTTTTTAATACGCATCTTAGATCAGGGGGACATGGTGGAAGGACAATATGGGCAAGGACATGGATTTGGACACGGATGCGAACAATACGGCTCCATATAATCGGTTTGACAACTAGTGATACAAGTCTGTTTGAAAAGACACTAGAAAGGTAAGCAGCAATATTCTGTGCACAGTTTTACGTAGACGGTTGTGCACGCTTTTACGCATTTTCTAACACCATTGCAAGCATCGTCGTCTGGAAAATCACCGCAGCCGCACTGGCAGCCCTCCATGACGTTGTCGCCAGAGTAACTTTTTAGGTGCAACTTTTTGTGTTTTAAGTGTTTGAGTTGTTTGGTTGATAAAGTATCATCATCAACAGCCTATCGTAGTACACTACTGGATATAGGCCTCTCCCAATGCGCGCATCTGCTTGCATGATAAAGCACACTGAAATCATTACTTTTGTGAAGTGTGAAATGTGAAGTATTCTCTTTTGCTCTCAGTCAAGCAAGTTTGTGGTTGGATCGAGAAATAATTCCATTCGAGAATCAAACCAATCAGTATTATACATATTTATTTTCTTTACTTAAAGAAAATATGTTGTAGTGATATCAATTCTCTGTTTATCAATATGTGATATCAATTCGATGTCTGGATATTATTACAACGATTGGAAACTATTTTTTAACCGATCTCAAAAAAGGAGAAGGTTCTCAATTTGACTGTGTTTTTTTTTGTATGTATGTTACGCAATAACTCCGGTATTTGTGAACCGACTTTCACGATTCTTTTTTTGTTGGAAAAAGGGTACCTCCGTAGTGGTCCCATTTAATTTTGAAGAAAATCATCCACCTCTAAGGGTGGTTGTTCACGCATGAAGATTCATTTTTATGAACAGCACCTAAATTTTATTATAAGGGGCAATTATTTTAATGGTTGATTTTACTATT